TTCTCTCTACATACACATATGTAAATGTCAATGTTTTTGCTTTCCTAGAGAACCCCATCTAAGATAAATACACCATTAATGCACATTTGCAAAACTAGATGTCAATAGGTAAGAAACTAATTTAGACCTTTTCCTATCAATTCATCCTTAGAATAGTACCAAGTGAAGATATTCCTAAGTATAAGGTATACGGATGATTTTTAAATTCTATGTTTCATATAAATTTTTCCTTACTGGTATCAAATTCTCTGCATTTCTTGGCGAACAACAAAACAATATTTTCCTGGCATATTACAAAGTGAGAAATTTAACCCTTGAAAAATCCATTTCCAATGGTCTGTGATCTTAATCTAATATTATATTACTGTGTTTCCTATTGCAATTTTGCACATACTTTAATTCTTAATAGTTTATTAGGTCTATAGAAATCTGATAGAATACATAGTACATAGACACACATATTTGTAAGTATAGGAATCAGCTTTCCTTATTTAAGTGAAATATACCTAAATAAATTGCAATATCAAATATAACTGAACATTATGATTTTCATGGAAAATGTTACTTATATGGATTAAATAATCATATTAAAAATGTAAGCACTGTTACATACCCCGTGTCCATTGCATTTTTTCAATGAGCTACAATTTACTTTCTTACTATAGGCATTCACAGATCTGCACACTGAGGCTTCACAATACTAAAAATGATAAAACAAAAAGGTTAAGTGTAAACACTGAGCAATTACATTTAATAGAAATCTATATACAAAAGATTAACCTAGATCTGAAGACAACTACCAATTATAAAATGAAAGAAGTTGGAGGCCATGTGAAAATGGCATAAATTATCACTTCATAAAATAGCATTTCTTGATAATTCTATATTAATTTTCCTTTGAGGGAACAAATGTTCTGTATTATTAACAATTGCATTAAAATGAACATAATTAACATACACTAAGTAGTATTTGTAAGGAACTATGATGCATTTTAACGCATATTCTCTGTCCTTGGCTTCTCTGCACTTGACTGTGCTGACAACATGCTGGCTGGATGAGGTAAGGCTCGATCACTATTGCTCCCCATTGCCCTTCCTCCACCACGTGCCCATCAGTTTCACATGCTGGGTTTTGTTGAGTATTCCTGTGAGGTTGGAAGCTATGCTATGCTATTTTATATACAGGTGGGGTCACTTAAGGTGAACCTTTTTTTTTTAGCAAAATTTGGAGAGTAAGAATAACCTATGAAGAAGGAATGCACTGTCCAGTTTGTAATGATTACCCTTTGCAAACTTTGTGATAGCAGTGGGCATTGTCAGATATGAGAAGGCAAGGTGAGACTTTCAGGTTGGGAGGCACTCAAAATACGGCCGGAGAAGAGCTGACTTCTCAAAGTAGAACCAATCAGAGTGATGCACGATGCAGGTGTAGTCATGCTTTAGAGGGCCTTCATTTGCTAATGGAGCATGGACCAAAATGAGAAGAAACTGCTGCACTTTCATTAATAATTGGAACATGGAATGCATGAAGCACACATCTGGAAAAATTTGAAAATTTCAAAAATGGCATACAGATAAATATCCTGGGCATCAGTGAGTTGAGATGGACTGGCTTGTGCCATTTTGAGATGGATAATCATAGGGGTTATGTGCTGGTAATGGCAAAGTCAAGATGAAGTGGATGAGAGGTCAAAGACCAGAGAAAGGTGGGCCTACCAGCATGGGCTGAGAAAAGATGCTGTGGCCAAAAAAACACTATCCTTAACATTTTTCAACCTGTTAATGTCCCTATTAAGCCCTGCAATCTTTAGTATTGTGTATGAGGTCTGTGTGACCACGGCATCGAATAATGAAACCCAGGAAAGAAATCTAGTATTTTTTGAATAATGGTTGGTATAAGACAAAAGGATGAAAAAATGAGATATTTCTGAATTATCCCTCATAGGAATCATCCTTGGGCAGGTGTGGTTTCCTTCTCTTTGTGTACCCAGAAGAACAGATTGAAAAGATGCATATTCAGCAAGTGAAGTGATTGTGATGAATATATATATATCCATACACATATGTAAACATATATAATTTTCTATGTCATATCCTCCTGCCCAAACAGTAGAAATGCCATGTTACTATCAACTCTACTTCATAAATAGAGTTTTTGACTTTCCATATGTGTTAGTCTGGGTACTTTAGAGAAACAAATCCACAGAAACGCATATGTATAATAGAGAGTTTTATATAAAGGGTAAGTGCACATCAAGAAAACATC